AGCTTATGAAATTACATTTTTCTTTAGAATAGAGTCTAATTGACTCCTGCTGCCTTCCTCCTGGGTAAATGCACCTTTCTCCTACCTCCACTCTTAACTCAAACGCATTGACTCCTGCTATATTCAGAACAAATGGTGTATTTATATTTGTGTATATGTTGACCAGCTCTCACCTTTAGCTGTACACCGTTTTACGATTGTTGTCTGTTTCCTGAGAGAAACATCCCCCACTACTCATGTGATCCTTATCAGCTTCTAATTGGGGTGGAGTTGAATGCTCATTTGAGCATCTCCCTATAAATTTAGATCAGCTCATGGGGGAGATCTCTGATGGGGGGCACAGTCTCTGATGGGGGTGCTGCTTCAGATTGAGTGTGGCTTAGAACGAGTGCATAGAAGAAGCAGTTAAACGCAGCAGTTGAACTAAAGCAGGAGAACTCAAGCAGCAGGAAGACACAACAACAGCAAGAAGCTCTACTGCATGCTGGAAGACTGCAAGCAAACACCCTGGGAAACCTCTTACATGCCTGAGTCCCACTCTGTGTACCTTTATATAATACACCCCCTCTTCTCCTTATCATATTACTATCCTCTGTTCCCAAATCTCATTTCTTTACCCTCTGCTCCACCCCACAACCTGTACATCTCCCCCTCACTGCTATCATCTCCCTACTATTGCTCTCTTCACCTCCCCAAAATGCCTCTTCCACTCCTCCTTCTCATGTTCCTCTCCTCCATTCCCAAAATCCATTCACTATATCCCTCTGCCCCTCCCAAACAATTGTATATTGTGTCCTCACTGCTCCCTTTGCCCCTCTATGGCACCCACCACCTCCTCCTATTACTCCGCTCTCCCACTGACCCCAACACCTCCACTAGGAGTTTCTCACGCTCCTGCACATCCCGCTCCCATGCCACCTTTCTCACCCTTCTCCTCCTCCTAACCGTGGGGGACATCTCCCCGAATCCTGGCCCTCCACCTCCCTCACCCGCTCAACACCCTCCCACCTCCACATCCTACTGCAACTCCCACAACTTAGTATCTGTCCCCCTGCTCCCTAAAATCTCCCCCCATTTTCATGTGCACTCCTGAACGCCCGTTCGGTGTGCAACAAGCTTACCGCCATCCACGACCTCTTTGTTTCCCGCTCCCCTCAACCTCCTAGCGATCACGGAAACCTGGATCCAGCCCACTGACTCTACCTCCCCTGCTGCACTCTCCTACGGAGGTCTCACCTGGACCCACTCACCCAGGCCTAACAATCGTAAAGGTGGTGGGGTTGGTCTGCTCCTGTCACCACAGAGCACCTTCCGAGTCCTCCCAAACCCCCCCTCCCTATCCTTCTCCTCCTTCGAGGCCCACTGCGTCCGACTATTCTCCCCAACCCCCCTGAAGATTGCTGTGATATACCGGCCTCCTGGATCCATACCTCGCTTCCTGGATGACTTCTCCTCCTGGCTACCCTTCTTCCTCTCCTCTGAGCTACCCACCATCATCCTTGGGGATTTCAACATCCCTGTCAACCTCGACAACCCAGACACAGCCCGTCTCCTCCACCTAACCTCCTCCTTTGCACTTGCACAGTGCATACAATCCACCACCCACTCCGACGGAAATATCCTGGACCTTGTCTTCTCCAACCGCTGCGCTCCCCACACACCTCACTAACACCCCCTTCCCTCTCTCTGACCACAACCTGATCACCTTCTCTATCTCCTCGTCCTCCAACGCCTACCCCTCCAAATGTCACACTACTACCAGCCGTAACCTCCGCAACCTTAACCCTGCCTCCCTCCACTCTGCAGCTGATCAACTCCACGACCGCATCCTCCCCCTGTCCTGCCCCGACTTGGCTTTGACCGCCTACAACAATGCGCTCTCAACAGCCCTTGACTCACTAGTGCCTTTAACCACACGCAACATCAGACCCCGACCGCTCCAGCCCTGGCAGACTGATCACACCAAAACCCTCAAACGACAAAGTCGTGCCCTGGAGCGACTATGGCGCAAAACCAAATCCCAACAAGCCTTCACCCGCTATAAATCTGCCTTCCGCATCTACACCTCCTCCTCCCTCCATGCTGCCAAACAGGCCCACTTCTTGACCCTCATCAAGGCCCTCTCCTCCAATCCTCGCCGACTCTTCTCTGCCTTCAGCTCTCTACTCTCTCCACCCCCACCTCCACCCAGCACCTCACTCACTGCCCTTGAGATTGCCAATCACTTCAAAAACAAGATTGACACAATTCGCAAGGACATTGCCGCAACTCACACGCCCTCTCAACCCGTCCCCTCTCACACAGCTACCCCCTTATCCCCCCTCCCCCTCGACATAACCCGCAGGGACTTCGTCGCTGCTCAAACTCTCTCCAACCCCCTTCACCCTCACTCAGCTACCCCCTATTCACCCTCTCCCATGGCCCCACCACTGTTCTGACCTCCTCTTCCACCCCACCCTACATTCCTCATACTGAAGCTCCCCCCACACTCCGCACCTTTGACCTTACTACCATCGAGGAAGTCTCCAAGATCCTCTCTGATGCCCGCCTCACCACCTGCCCCCTCGACCCTATCCCCTCACAACTCCTACGACCTTCCTCCTCCTCCATCCTACGCTCCCTCACCCACATCTTCAATCTCTCCCTCTCCTCAGGCACTTTCCCCTCACCTCTGAAACATGCACACATCACCCCCATACTTAAAAAGCCCTCCCTGGACCCCAATGACCCGAACAACCTCAGACCCATCTCCCTGCTCCCATTTACATCTAAACTCCTCGAGCGCCTAGTCTACACCCGCCTATGCTCTCACCTCAATGACAACAACCTCCTCGATCCCCTACAGTCCGGCTTCCGTCCCCTACACTCCACCGAAACTGCCTTACTCAAACTCTCCAACGACCTGCTAACCGCCAAAGCTAATGGCCACTATTCAGTGCTCCTACTCCTTGACCTCTCTGCGGCCTTCGACACAGTCGACCACCCCCGCCTCCTCAAAAAAACTACACTCCCTCGGCCTCAGAGATTTTGTTCTCTCCTGGCTCTCATCCTACCTGTCACAACGCTCCTTCAGCGTTACCTATAATGCTACCAGCTCCCCCTCACTCCCCCTCTCTGTTGGGGTCCCTCAAGGCTCTGTCCTTGGGCCCCTTCTCTTCTCCATCTATACCTCCTCCCTTGGCCAACTCATACACTCTCACGGCTTCAACTACCACCTCTATGCCGACGACACACAAATCTATCTCTCAACCCCCCACCTCACCCCCTTGGTCTCAGCCCGAATCACACACCTACTGAGCGACATATCAGACTGGATGTCGCTCCACTTCCTTAAATTGAACCTCTCCAAAACCGAGTTTCTTGTCTTCCCCCCAGCCCAGACACCACACCCCATTGATTTCTCCGTCACGTCCAACAACGCTACCATCAAACCCGCCCTGCAGGCCAGAGTACTGGGTGTCATTCTGGACTCCAACCTATCCTTCCAGCCCCAAGTCCAATCTTTAACAAACTCGTGCAGACTCCACCTCCGCAACATCGCCAAAAAATCCGCACGTTCCTAACCCCAGAAACCACTAAACAGCTCATCCACTCCCTCATCATATCACGACTCGACTACTGCAACTCCCTCCTCACTGGCCTGCCTCGCCGCTGGCTATCCCCGCTTCAGTCGATCCTGAATACGGCTGCCAGACTCATTCACCTTTCCAACCGCTCTGTCTCCGCCACCCCCCTCTGCCAATCCCTCCACTGGCTTCCGATTGCGCAACGGATCAAATTCAAAATCCTAACGCTGACGTACAAAGCTGTCCACCATACTGCCCCGAACTACATCACTGACCTAATATCCAAGTACCCCGCCCAGCACGCACACTCCGCTCCTCACAAGACCTCCTTCTCTCTAGTTCCCTGGTCTCCTCCTCCCATGCCCGCCTCCAGGACTTCTCCAGGGTGTCACCCATCCTCTGGAACTCCCTGCCCCAACCCATCAGATTATCACCTACTCTCCTCTCCTTTTAGGCGCACCCTGAAAACCCATCTCTTCAGGGAAGCCTACCCCACCCCCTGCTAACTTGCCGACCTCCTCCACTCTTCCTACAACTCCATCCCCCACAGCTATCTCCTCCTGTGCCACCACCCCCTCCCTCCTAGATTGTAAGCTCGAAAGAGCAGGGCCCTCGATCCCCTCATGTTTTGCATTGTATTGGTATTGTTCTGTCACATGTTCTGTCCCCCTTTGTAATGTACAGCGCTGAGCGAACTATTGGCGCTTTATAAATACTGTATAATAATAATAATAATAGAAAGCTGGTTTACATAATCAAGTGTCATAGTGGATAAGAGGCCAGACTGAACCTAGAACCTAATTTATGAAACCTATGTAAACGTGTAATGTGTATTGACAGCATCTCTGTTATTATATAAGAAAGTCACATAGCACATTTTCTGCCATTAAAGTATTAAAAAAGGACAAAATGTGTTAATAACTGAATGTAAGGTCTATCCATAGACATAGGACAATTGTCACCGAATCCTGGCAGACTGCCAGAGGCATCCCCTGGTGACCATTTGTTGCATATACTATGTGTATGTTCATGTCACTGATGTGTAAAGGTATGACACCATGTCTGGTGAACACAACTCAGTATTCTAAAAAGCTTGCACTAAAGTATATTAGGTTAGCTAGCAAAAAGGTGTTGCTTACATTTTCACATCCTTTCTACTATCTATGGCTAACGTGGCATAATATTATTACCTTATTGAGTACAGACACCAAGAGAAAGCACTATGCAAGTTTTCAGGTACTACTAAAAGCTATATAACATGTACAATAGGGTGTTTATTAAAAGATTAAACTTTATAAAAACTGTAGGAGTAGAGGATGGACCTCTAACTCTACACAAAGAATGTACAAATAACCATACATAAACTGAACAAAATTTCCACAGACCATACCCAAAAATGCTTCAAGGTCCCCCAAGGCAGTGGAGAGCGGGCCTCCCCTTGTGTCCCCCGTGGCGGTGGAGAGGGTGTCTCCTCTCAGAGGAGGAGCGGACCTCTCCTGCACCTGTCCCCTCAGCGGCGCTGCCAGTGTAATGGCGGTGCCAAAGAAGCCGGAAACTGGACATTGGAAACCGGAACTCGGCTTCACAATGAGGCTTGGAGCACAGGTGGAGCCGCTTCATCCATCATCTGTGCTCGCCGCTCGCCACACAGGAATTTCTCCTCGCATTTGGAGAGTGGTTTTTTCAAGCCCTGGAACCTTCTATAGTACCCTGTGATACCCAGAAATGCCCTGACCTGCTTCTTATTTGCTGGACATGGCCATTCTTAGACGGGTTCTACTTTGTTTAACCACTTGCCATCCTGAGGATTTACCCGCCTAATAACCAGGCCTTTTTTTGCTATACTGCACTATTTCAACTAATAATTATGCAGTCATGCAATGCTGTACCCAAATGAAATTTACATCTTTTTTCACACAAATAGAGCTTTCTTTCGGTGGTATTTGATCACCTGTGCACTTTTTATTTTTTGCGCTATAAAACAAAAAAGGCTGAATATCTTGAAAAAGAAAAACAACATAATTTAGTTTCAGCTATAAAAAAATGTATAGTAAACTCAAAGTTAGTCATAAATTTAGGCCAAAATGTATTCTGCTACATGTTTTTGGTAAAAAAAAAATCCCAATAAGTGTACATTAATTGCTTTGTGTGAACGTTATAGCATCTACAAACTATGGTATAGATAATGGAATTTACACAGCTTTTACTTTCTGACTGCCCATCACATTTCTTGAGGTAGCACCAAACCCCCCAAAATGACCTCTTTTTGGAAAGTAGACACCCAAAGGAATTCAAAAAGAGGCATGGTGAGTATTTTGCAGATCTAATTTTTTCTCACAAGGTTTTGAAATATAAAAAAAAAGAAAATAAAAAATATGTTTTTGTTTTCTTTCTTCATTTTCCAAAAACTAGTGGCAACAAACGAGATCTGCAAAATACTCACCATGTTTCTTATCAAATTCCTTTGGGTGTCTACTCTCCAAAAATGGGTCATTTGGGGCGTTTGGTGCCCCTCAGCTGATCGCACTAGCCTCTGTGGTAACTATGGTCCAGGAGAGATACCCCAATGGACATGATCTTGTAAGCATTTCACTCTTCGTCCACCACCGTAGTCCCCTGTGCATTAGACTTGTCAAACATATGGGCTGGGATAGGTACAGTTTGTTCCATTGTCTTAGAAATTCTAATTGAAAGTGCCTCAGGTGCCAGTGGGCCCATGGAAGCATTGGTATACATGCTGACATCACCCCTATCAGATTCAGGCAGCTCGATGTCAGGTACTACTGTGTCCTCACTTTCTTCATCTTCCGAATGATGGCAGTCATTTTCTGAGGGGGCAGGGACACTGACCCCTTGGAAGTGTCGAACAGGGCGCCTAGATAAACCATTTGCTGTGCTGGGATAAGTTGAATTTTTGTTTGATTTATCACCCATCTGAACTCTGATAGTGTGGAAATCAGAACTTTCCTGTGTTCTGTTAGTTGGGCTGGATTCTTTGCTAGTAGTAGGATATCATCCAGGTAGTAATATACCTTGAGCCCAACCTTCCATAGTGGGGCTAGGACTGCAATCAGTACTTTCGTGAACACTCTGAGAGAAGTACATAGACCAAAGGGCAAACTCTGGAATTGCAGATGAATCTGGCCGATTGCAAACCTCAGATATTTCTGAAACGGTGGGAGTATGGGTATACGTAAGTACACGTCTTGAAGGTCCACTGACAGCATCCAGTGACCAGGATGAACGGCATGGATAATAGTCTGCAGTGATTCTATCTTGAAGCTCTCCAAGAGTATGTAATGGTTTAATTTCTTGAAGTTTATTATGGGTCTCCAACTGCCATTCCTTTTGGGTATCACTCTCGGATGGAGGAACCAGTATTACCACCTGCTGTGCCTGTAGGGAATCCAGAAACTGCAAAAGTACCTCTCTCTTCTGAGGAGACTCTGGTATTCTCGTGGGGGTGAAGAGGTTGCGGGTGGCCGGTCTGAGAAAGCCCAGAAGTGTCTGAACTGGACTGTCAAGACCGCACAGGGATCCTGGCATCTTTGCATCCAAACCTTGGCAAAATGCCTCAGTCTGGCTCCTACTGGGATTGCCTGGGCTGGCCTGGCATCAAAAGGACTTTGTGGTGTCTGGCGGGTTAGGAAGAGCCTTTTGTTTGTGGGTGCTAAAAAAAGTTGATTGTGTGCTTCTCCAGGCCTTCCTTGAGTCTCTGTCCTGTCTGAACTGCCTGTAATCTTTGCAGCTGAACTGCTGAAATCTTGAAGTAAATCCCCTGGTATGTCTAGGTCTTCTGTCTTGGGGCAAAAGGCCTGATTTTCTTCCTGTAACATGGGAAATGGCCTTTTCCAACCTCTCTCTAAACAGTAAATTACCATCAAAAGGGATTTTACACCAATTTTGTTTTGACGCCAAGTCGGTCGCCCACGGCTTCAACCATAAGGCCCGCCTTGCCATTACGGCATACAGCATTGATCTTGCAGAAGATCTTATTGTATCGATAGCTGCTTCACCAATTAAGTCAGCCGAGAGCTTGAGCTCATCCAAAGCCTTGACTATGTCTTCCTTGGGAACTCATTGCTGGATAGCCACCTCTATGTTGTCCGTCCATACGCAAAGCATTGGAGGCAGATGTCAGTGCAATTGCTGGCTCTCAGGCATTTCCGCCCATCTGATAGGCTCTCTTTAGGTCAAGATCTATTCTAGGGGATCTTTAAATGAGGCTGTTATGTTTTTTTGCTGAGCAGACCACCGCTGCATCCACTACCGAATGCTTCTGAAAGAAAATATAGCTTGCCCAGGTGATTGAGAGAAAATCTTTTTTCTGTCTTTTTCCATTCCATCCATTGATGTCCCTGATTTCATCCATCAGAGGAAAGTAGGTGATTCACTTTTTAAGAAATGGGAAGTAGCTCTTTAATTTTCTTACTGGGGAATCAGTTTCTTCTCAACCAATGTGTCAGAGCCTGGGATCAAACCTGGGCCTTCTGCGGTGAGTAGCAATGTTTCTCTTCTCACTGAGCTACCTGGACAAGACTCTGCCTGATCTATTGGACAATCCTGCCTTGTGCCTTGTTTTCTGTTGAACCTTGAACTCCTTGCTCCTCCCATGAACTTCCTGATAAAAGCCATGACTCTGCATTTCCTCTTTGCCAGATTATTGTGCCTTCCCAGCCAATATCCCCCTCATCGTTCCTGCTGCCATCTACATCTTTGCTACCGACCTTTGGCTTGCTACTGACTACGATTTTGCCTCATCCTCATCTGCTACCATTTGTGACCGACCCTTGTCTTTTGACTGACTCCGCTTCTGTTTGACCTTAACCTGTTTGATCTGCTATTGGTTTCCAGCTTGCTCATTCCCTGGAGGGGTGATCCTGAGATCTGCAACCTAGTATTAACACGCAGCCAAATCCATCTCCACCACTAGGAGCTCTGGTGAAAAAACCGGTTAATACTTAGACCCCGCACCTCAGGTGAGCCTACGCTATTTCCCAGGGTGACCCACTGGTGTACCGATTCTGCTGGTTTCAGGTAAGCCTTTTACTGCTATAGCAACTGGTCTCTGAACCTGACCCAGACCGTGACACAATGGCTCAACCAGGGAAAAGCTAAAGCCTGAAGGATCTGATTAATCCGGGGAATCTTCTTCTCCAGATTGTTTAGATGGCCGGTACGCTATTGGGTGAGGAGGTTTCGCCCGAGGATGGGCCTGGTAGTAGCGCATCTGATGCCTCCTCTGAGGAAGCTGTGATGATAGTTGTAATGGATTAGCTGTTTCAAGTTTTTCTTTGACCACTTTTTTAGTAGGTCCACAACCTGCTGAATCTCTGCACCTCTTTCCATTGCATAATCCCTGAAACAGTCTCTACAGACTAGCTTGCCAAGTAGAGAAGTGGCTTCACATGCCTGGCATTTTTGAGGTCTAAGGCTTGGGGAACGTGAGGATTGTGGTCTTTTGGCAGAAGAACATGCCCCAGTTGAATGGTATCGGGATCTGAAGATCGAGCTTGGCTCGGGCTGCCCACATTGGATTCCCCATGGCGCCTGGATGTCCTCTTGGACCTCTTCTGGTGTACAGGGCTGAAATACATAAATGTACTAGCATAAGCGCTTCTTCTTTTTTTTTTTTTTTTTTTTTTTAACATACCCAGCCGGAGGCCCTTACCTTTTGAAGTAGAGGAGGGTCCTTGTTCATCTTAAGCAAAGGGCAAAAAGAGCAACTATAGGACAAGAAGAGGATTTAGATTACTGCGTTTCCCCTCGCCCCCAACCCCCTCTTTTTTTGGGGGGGGGAGAAAAAAGGAAATGATAAAAGAGGGTGCATGGGAGAAAGGAAGAGAGGGAGAGAAAAAGGAAAAGAGAGGATGAAAGGAAAAGAAAGGATGAAAGGAAAAGAAAGAGAGAGAGAGAAAAAAAAGACCTACCAACACCAAAGCCGCACGCGGCCACACTAAAGCTCCCAGGACTAATTAGTGGAAGTGGGTGGAGTAAAGGGAAACAAATTCCTCTCCCATCCTCGAAGGAAAAAAAAAATCAGGAATTCGAGTAAGGGCAAGAATAGTCTGTCTGCCCACAGCCAAGATGGCCACCATAGCGTCAAGCCGCACCACATGCCCTAGGACCCCACACTGATAGGCAGCACTGATAGATTGCAGTGGTGGGCACTGACTGGCACTGATGGAGCTGCCCTGATTATCAGTGGTAAACCGTGTACTGACAATTTTTTCCAGTAATCGTCTTTCCTTTCCTCAAAACAGACGCAGCATGTGGGGAAAGGACTGCCCATAACTGGCAAGTCTGTTTACATGTGATCAGCTGTGATTGGACACAGCTGATCACACGGTAAAGGGCCACTGTGATTGGCTCTTTACCTTGATCTATGGTCAGCTGTGTCCAAAGGAGCCAATGCTTCTGGGAGGATGTCTACAGACGTCTTTTGGCTATAGCGTGGTCCAAATATATAAAATGCTTACGTTAGATTCTTCATTCAGAGGCTTTACAGAGGTATCCACACTTGCATACATTGTGGGTATTCTCATGTTTATTTTTGCATATATAGTAAAAGCTAATTCGTTTGTGTTTCTTATACACATTGAAATGTTGTTTTTGTTGTATTGCATGCAATTCTATGCGGCTCTTGGATCCTCTGTACTGTATACCTTCGTGGATATTGCTTGGGTTATGAGGTGCGGTCTGCATGGGTGGATAGTTGGGGCCACAAGATGGGCACTACATGCCAATATTAATTGGTGTGTGATAACATCGCCACAGTGGAAGCGGGTGGCACCATTTAAAATGGGAGTTCATTGGGTGGCAGCAGTGTTTTTATTAATTTTTTTTATACTTTACTGCTACCACTGGGTGGCAGCAGTGCTCCTGTTCTTCGCTTTTGCTGAGGCGCACACTATCCCTAGGAAACACATCCCCATGTGCTAGAAACATATTGCCCTTGCTTTCTTTTTGGTGGCATTTGATTGCCTCTGCGTTTTTAATTTTTTGCTCTATAAACAAAAAAAACACAATTTAAAAAAAAACTATATTTTTTACTTTTTGCTATTAAACATGTCCCAGTAGAAGAAAAATTTAAAAATCAAATTTCATCATAACTTTAGGCCAAACTGTATTCTGCTACATGTCTTTGCTAAAAAAAATCCCAATACATGTAAATTAATTGGTTTACGTGAAAGTTATAGCGTTTACAAACGGCGGTATATATACTGGGATTTTTTTTTTTTGTACTAGTAATGGCGGCGGTAAGCCTTATATCAGCTTTTATAGTGGGACTGCGGCGGTACTGTACTAATGACACTGGGCAGGAAGGGGTTAATATGTGGGGCAATCAAAGGGTTAACTGTGTGCTGTTTTACAGTGCGTGCTTTATACTGTAAGCACACTGCTTTGTGGCAGAGCCATACAAAGCTTCCTCTACCACAGAGTGCATACGAAAAGGCCTTGTGTGGCCTAGGAGCCCATACTGGTAAATTTAAGTTGGATGGAATCTGGAGGCTCCAGCTTTAAACAGGAGCACACTTCATCCACCAATACAGAAATGGTATCTCTGAGTTTTGGAATGATAACATCCAAAATGGCCTCTTCTTGTGGAGAGTCTTCTGAATCAGGAGGAAGCATTCCTTCCTTTTTTCAGGTAATAAAACCTCCTACTCCTCTCTGTCCTGCAGTAGAAAAAGAGCCAAAGCAGAGTTTGCAAGAGAGGAAAGAGGAGAAACTGAAAGGATCCTCTTGCGGCTCCTGAGGCTAGAGGTTTCCAACACAGTGGTGAGCTTTTCCAAAAATACTTCCATAGAGGCAGGAAATTCCTTCCTGCTCAAACATGAGGAATGGGTACCTAACGTTGTTAAGGAGGAGGGAAAGGTAGAAGGAGGATAAAAGCCTCCACTCTGTGAAGAAGGGTCCTTAGTGGGAAAAAGAAATCCCTCATGGATCTTCTAGCAGAAGGTTTGCCCCTCCATCTGCTTATTGTCTTCCATTTTTATGAGAAAAAGCCTCTCAGGGCATTAACAGTAGTACGGCAAAGGGAAGGTTAAACCTGCCCTGAAGGCGTTTATATGGTGTCTGGCAAAAGTAATGTACTCCCCACAGAAAAAAAATCAGGGTGCAAAAAACACTGGCAACAGTGATCACAGCAGCACTTGAAGGCTAAGTTCACCTTTTTTTTTTTTTCTAAATTTCAGCTTCCTACAATATGTATACAGTACAGGGGTGGACTGACCATTTGGAAACTCGGGCACTGCCCGATGGCCCGGGGTCAGTAGGGGCCCCATGAGATGCCCCTGGTACCTTTTTCATTGGTTTTTTGGAGTTTGGGCAAGGACACAGGGGCCCCATGATCCCCTATTGCCCGGGGGCCCCATGAGTTGTCAGTCCGCCCCTGATACAGTATATACAATTTCATACATTATGTCATTAACGTACCTCTGCTGCAGAAAGAAAAAGCTCTCTCTTTCTTCTAGGACAGGCATTAACTCAGCCTCCATTGTCTCCTATAGAAAACTCCTGCATTACCCATCCTGGAATTTGGTATTTGGGACAGAAAAACAGTTACAAGGCAGTACTTCACCAGCTGACTTCATTAACACACACCCTACACTTGCCCTCCCCCTCCAGGAGATTGATCCCGCCCACCTCTGTACTTGTATACAATCACTGCCAATGAACACAATTCTCTTTGAACAGACAGCCAGGTTTTGTACCTTAACTTCTTCTTGCACAAATCGCTCATTTGGCAGAGTGTGCAGGAGCTGAGCAATAACACAACATGTGGAGCAGAGTTGCAGTATTGAAAACAGAAGTGTGTCCCTGGAAGTCTGTAAAGCTCACCATATACTATACAATCTGCATATAATTTCCTTTAGATCTACCATCAACTACGTAGTGCAAGGGCCTGCCAGATTGGATACAGAGTGATTAGATAGACAGTGGTGTGCTTCTATTATATAGTTTTGGTAAATCTAAAGGAAATTGTACAGAGATTTTACACTCAAATGGCCATCTTTATATATTTATTTATTTATTACAGGTACTTATAAAGCGCCATCAATTTACACAGCACTTTACATATATATATTGTACATTCACATCAGTCTCTAACCTCAAGGGGCGTACAATCTAAGGTCCCTAACTCACATTCATATACAAGGGCCAATTTAGACAGGATCCAATTAACCTACCAGCATGTCTTTGGAGTGTGGGAGGAAACTGGAGTACCCAGAGGAAACCCATGCAGGCACAGAGAACTTGCAAACTCCAGGCAGGTGGTGGCTGGGATACAAACCAGCTACCCTAGTACTGCCAGGTGGAAGTGCTAACCATTTAGCCACTGTGCTGCCCTTATATGCCTAAAATGAACTAGCCGTGCTTTTGTGCAAACCACAACACACCAAAATGTCCAATGAGTTACCTTTCCACGTGTAGGGCAGCGCATTGAAATCAATGGGCTGCCCTAAGTGTGTCAATAAAAACAAGAGAAAAAAAAGTGTGCTGCTACTATGCTAGATGTGAATGGGGCCTGAAAGTCAAATCGGTGTGTTTACACAAGAACAATGAGGCTCCAGTCACATTTGCGCATTTCTGAATGCATGGCAAACTGCACAGAACAGTGCGCTTAGCTACGCGTTACAGAAATCACTTCACACTTATGATGCAATTAGATGTTAATGGAACCCCAAGCGCAGGACATGTCATGTCATGTGTAGGGCAGCCCATTCAAGTGAATGGGCTGCCTAATACATGATGAGCGAAAACGCTCCAAAACACCCAAGAAATACACGTGCGAGAATATTGGTTCCCATTAGATGGGCCCATCTGAACAATCTATTCAATTTGTATCAAATCAGACAGACCCTTGCACTACATAGATTGTACAGTGTGTGGGCATCTTAAAGGGTGAAGTAGGAAAATGGATAGAAATAAAACAAGTGGTGGCATAGTAATGAGGAAGGTGTGATCCAGAGTGGTAATACATGCCCTATTCTGTGATGCACTAAGGCAGCGCACGATGGGAGATATAGCTGGAATGTCATATGATCTACATACAGAAAATGATGGGAGCAGAAAGCATTTTTCAAAAATGTCAAACAGAGAGGTGCAGGTTCAAAGCTGCCATGGATGAGGTAAGTGAGAGATAATCACATTGAGATGACTAAGGCAGAAAAGACATTAGAAAACACTTATATTTATTCTGAAAAGTGAAATTCTGCCTGTAAAGGCAAACTTAGCCTTTAAATCCTCTTGAAATGATGCTTCCTTTGACAGGACTCAGGTGCTGTCAAAGAGCTGGCAAGAGAAACAAGAAACCACGCTGGCAAGAGACTCCCCCCCCATGCCACCTTCCGCAGCTCTCTCTGGCTCTCCAGTCCCACCAGGAGACCAGAATGGCTCAAATCATCTCTATGGCATAGGAAACCAGAAGTGATGAAATGCTCCATCAGTTTTCCCATTTCCTAGACCAGAGACGAGCGGAGCCTACACCAATCAGAGATGATTTTGAGATTGTAAACAAATCCTTAGGGGTTTGAAAAGCATTGGATCATACTGATCTTGGTATAATCCAGAGCTAAAAAAAAAAAAAATAGAAAAAGTGATTATAATAAAATAAATATTATAGAATTTAAATATGTGTGTGTGTATGTGTATATATATATATATATATATATATATATATATATATATATATATATATATACAGTTGTGTTCAAAATAATAGCAGTCAGACATCACTGACCTGATCAATCACTGTTTTTGTAGAAATTATATTTCTACGTGGCAAATAATTTACTAGTAGGTGTAGTAGAGTAATAGAAATCCAACAAACCCAACAGTCATGACATGCATGCTGCTGATTCTGTGTAATTGAATCACTAATTGAAAGGGGCATGTTCAAAATAATAGCAGTGTGGAGTTCTATTAGTGAGGTCATTCATTCTTTGAAAAGCCGGTGGCAATTATTGCCCTTATTTAAGGAAGGAAGGCAGCAAATGTTGTACATGCTGCTTACAGTGCATTTCTCTCTGAAATTCTGAGGAAAATGGGTCATTCTAGACATTGTTCAGAAGAACAGCGTACCTTGATTAAAAAGTTGATTGGAGAGGGGAAAACATATAAAGAAGTGCAGAAAATGATAGGCTGCTCAGCTAAAATGATCGCAAATGCTTTAAAATGGCAACCAAAACCTGAAAGACGTGGAAGAAAGCGAAAAACTACCATTCGATTGGATAGAAGAATAGCCAAAATGGCAAGGACTCAGCCAACAATCAGCTCCAGGAAGATCAAAGCAGGTCTAAAGTTACCTGTGAGTACTGTTACAATTAGAAGACGCCTATGTGAAGCCAAGCTATCTGCAAGAAGCTCCCGCAAAGTCCCACTGTTGAAAAAAAGACGTGCTGAAGAGGTTACAATTTGCCAAAGAGCATATTGACTGGCCTAAAGAGAAATGGCGTAACATTTTGTGGACTGATGAAAGTAAGATTGTTCTTTTTGGGTCTAGTGGCTGGAGACAGTTTGTCAGATGACCCCCAAACACTGAATTCAAGCCACAGTACACTGTGAAGACAGTGAAGCATGGTTGCGCAAGCATCATGATATGGGGATGTTTCTCATACTACGGTGTTGGGCCTATTTATCGCATACCAGGGATCATGGATCAGTTTGAATACATCAGAATACTTGAAGAGGTCATGCTGCCTTATGCTGAAGAGGAAATGCCCTTGAAATGGGTGTTCCAACAAGACAACGACCCCAAACACACCAGTAAACGGGCAACATCTTGGTTCCAGACCAACAAGATTGACGTTATGGAGTGGCCAGCCCAATCCCCGGATCTTAATCCAATAGAAAACTTGTGGGGTGACATCAAAAATGCAGTTTCTGAGGCAAAACCAAGAAACAGAGAAGAACTGTGGAATGTAGTCCAATCATCCTGGGCTGGAATACCTGTTCACAGGTGCCAGAAGTTGGTTGATTCCATGCAACACAGATGTACAGCAGTTCTCAGAAACAGTGCTTATACAACTAAATATTCATTAAGTGATTCAAAGGAAAGCAAAATCTTCAAACATTTTTCAGTTTATATAGTGAATGTTTGAGTTTGTAAAGAAGAATACAAACACTGCTATTTTTTTGAACAGTCAAATATTCACTTTTCTTCAATTTTTTTAGAGGAGCAACACAAATTTGATATATTTTTCTTCATGTTTTGATTTGGAATGGAATGTGTAGTGTTCCCAATGCATTTGTGTGTATGGAAATAAAAGCTATTAGAAGGATTTTGAGCTTTATTAATTTTTTTCAACACACTGCTATTATTTTGAACACAACTGTGTGTGTATATATATATATATATATATAATAAATATTATATACTGTGTTTGCGCACAAAGACGCATGCGCGCAAACAGCAATCATCTGACACACTGATTGTCAGATCGAGGGCAGTAATTCTAGCACCAGACCTCTAGTGTAAATCTAAAGTGGTAACCTGTAAAAGCTTTTAAAGCATTGCCATTTCACAGACGTTCGCAATTTTAAAGCGTGCCATGTTTGGTATCTATATACTCGGCGAAACATCATCTTTTATCGTTTACCAAACAATTGGGTATAATATGGTGTTTTTGTGCATTAAAATTAAAAAAGTGTACATTTTCCACAAACAAATTTGTTTGAAAAACCACTGCGCAAGTACCATGTGAAATACAAAATTGCTACACCCACCATTTTATTCTCTAGTGCCTGTGGTTTAAATAAAACGATATGTTTGGGGGTTCTAATTAATTTTCCAGCAAAAAATGCTGATTTTTTACATTTAAACAAAAGGTTTCAGAATAGACCTGGTCTTAAAGTGGGTAACCACAGCAGTGTAAGGTTAGCTGCGAGCCAGCAAAGGCAGGGAAAAGAAAAAACAGCAAGGAAGACAGTGACAGTTCTGTGTAAGGAGCTCCCTCTACTGGACAAAAGTGGCACTGCAACTGAGAAGGAAATCTTCAGCATAAAAAAGGCATGGTGTGGTGATGGGACACAAAATTTGTAAAGAGAACAGGTTCTTTACTCACTAACAAACAAAGGATTTCCCAGTACACTTACCAGCCAGCCTAGAAAACAACCAAACTGTCCCTGTCTAACACTTTATGTTAAAAACAGAAGGTTTTATATGTGTAAGCCGCAGTGAGCCCACGCTAAGGGACCTCTGTATATTATGCAGTTCTAACTCTAAATTTCTAGAGCCTCCATAGTAGGAGCACATATAAGAATAGATAGATTAAGGGCAGGTATGTCTGGAGGGAGCCCACACCTACTTAAAGGCAAAGGGACACCCATGACACCTAGCAAGAGCACAATGGCAGTGAAGGCATCCAGTGCATCACTGCACCCAATTCATCCAAATATGCAAAAAAGTGGCAACCACCCCAACCTATAACTGGCCTTTGCAGTAAGGTGCACATGGAAGAGCAATGTACATCACAATCAAACAAAGCATTTCCCAGCACACTTGCCAGCCAGCCTCCAAAACAACCAAATTGGCCCCGTCTAACAGTTTACTT